ACTGAATTTTGAATTTTGGGTTTGATTGCTTTTAATTGTGAATTATGCTGAAGCTGCTGTTGTCATTATCTTGAAAACTATTTAATTAAATGTAAGTATCCAGCTGTGTGTATTTTCAAAGAGCCAAAGTGCTCTAAGATCTTGAACAGAAGAGCAATATATCACAGGGTTTGCAAAAGCTTTCCATCAGTTTTTTTAGTATTTCCTTACTTTGGGGTGTTTCATTTGAAGCCTTGATGGTTGTTTTAGTCTCTATTGCTTGTGTGTAATCTGAATTTTTGAAATAATAAGCAGAAATTGAGGATAGGACTCAGCTAGCAGGTTCAATATGCGAAGTGTCCTGGGCAGAGAGAGGAATGGAAACTTGAATCCTGTCTCACCCTGGTTACCAAAGAAAAACAAATCTAATATGCCTGATTCTTCTGTTCACTGCCACCAAATGTGAGCTTTTTTTCCCTCTTGATTTTTCTTCTTCAGCCTCTCACAGTCCTAATTACATTTCTTCCCCTCTGAGAGATCGTTGTCCTCCTTTCATTTTCACTCCAGTCTCCATCTTTGTGCCAGATCGATACCAGATCCCTATCCAAGTCACTCTCCTCTCACTCGCTGTGGTGGGTTTTTTGTTTGTTGTGGGTTTTTTTTTTTCCTCCACAATTATTCCCTATCTTTCCTGTCTGAACTTCTTTCTTTCCCCGGCCACCTTTCAACTCATGCCTTCTCTCTTGGGTTTCTCATTTGTCAGTGTCCTTAATCTTTCTTTTTCTGCCAGTCTCTGGGATGAGCTTATCTCTTCTCTCACCTCTTTTCCCCTATCTAATTTCTCAGGAAACGCGTCTCTTGATTGCCCCTCTTTTTCCCCGTGCCAGGGGCATCCAGCCTCTTAACTCAGCCAGTCCCCGTTCCCCTCCTGAGTTCATATATGAATCCGTGCCCCCTCGGATGTGCGAATCCTCAGCCAGTTACACAAACCAGCACGAGTTCGGCTAAGGCCCAGACTTCAGGCATGCCTCTGAGTTAATGACTTGAGTTAAAGAATCAGCATTAACTTTGAATTTTCTGGCTTTTGACTTTTCTTTTCACAGCTTGACATTTTGGTAATGCTTTGTTTTTCTGGTACTTCAAAAAAACAGATGGGGAATAATGTCACAGCAGAATGTATGACCCTGGCTTTGGCAAGTCTACTACCCCATTACCACGGCTCTCCGGGGCTGGTTAATGGTGTTGTCCTTGGTCGTCCTGGAGCGTTGCCCCTCCGGGTGCCACATGCCAGAAGAGCTGGCATTCGGTGTCCCATCCCAAAGCCAGCTTGGCCACCTTGGCTAGGTGCCACCTTGGGTAGGTGGCAGCCGTAGACAGACTTCTCAGCAGGGGACATGTGGCCTGCCAGTGGTGCCAAGGAACAGCAAAAAAAAAAAAAAAAAAAAAAAAGCGCCAAAAAACTGAGGTGACACGCTGAAAGACAGCCAACAGGGAAGGGTCAGCCCCTGGGCAGAGCAGAGAATTGATTCACTAACCTCCTAGATGCATCTCACTGATTTTCCGCAGTACCTTGACAGAAACCAGATACTACAGTGATAGCTAATTTAAAGGTATCAATAGACAGTCACACTCCAATCTCCTGAATCCCAAATCTTTTCCGTAGTCACACGATCACCCTGTCCCTCCCCAGCTACACAATATGCTTAATCCCTGTGATGTTATACACGTCTTCTTTCAACTGTGACAGATTGGGGCCGTGCAAACCATTTCAAAGGTATGATGCAACTTAGTATATTCTAGGAATGGTTTCAAGTAATTACATACATGGATGCAACTTTGCACAAAGGCACTTCTTTTTATGAGCAGTGGAGATTTACTAAAGGGATGTACCTCTGAGAGTCACCGCAGGAGCACCACGCGCTGTATCTCACAGGTCATCGGGAGGCTGCGTGGCTCCCCCATATCCACATCCCATCTCAGCTGCCTAGAGGAAGCAAATGGAATTAAAAATGCTTGATTTGAACTGAATGCCATCATCTGGGTGTTTAAAAGGAAATGGAATCAATTTGATCTGAAAAAATATATAATGTAATTGGGGGTTAAAGTGTTACTGGGTCCTCCTGAAATGCAATTAGAGATACTATTCACGTTGTGAACAGCACACCTTTAATCTTAAACTATTTCAGAAGCTCCATTTGTGTGGTTTTTTGCTCTGCATTTGCAGGAAAGTTCCAGCCTAGGTTAATAATATAGTGGCAGTACTTCACAATGCTCTCCAATGTACAGAAGTAGCTATTAAACTGTCAACAGCACTAAAAGATGATATTTTGATGGCAATGGATAGGAACCCCATCTTCCTGCTCATGCTACTCAACATTTCTGTAGCTTTCAAGCACAGTCAACCATAATTTGTCACTGACTTGCATACGTGTGACATTGGTTGAACAGGTAGTCTGAGCTACAACTATGTCAATCAATTTTTCAGGCAAAACTCGCATAGCATAGAATCATAGAATCGTTTAGGTTGGAGAAGATCTTTAAGATCATCCAGTCAAACTGTTAACCTAGCACTGCCAAGTCCACCACTAAACCCTGTCCCTAAGCACCACCGATAGACAGCTATTCCCTTTTCTTTCTCTGCACCTCTTGCACTCATTCCTGTTTACCATCTACCTGGAGGCCTCTAGAGAAGTTGCAGGACGTGCCAACTTCACTGCTGAAGCTGTTCTGCTGATATGGACCTGCATAATCCCCTTCCACAGCTGCAGCCAGAGATATCATTAAATGTACAGAATGAAGCACAAATTCAGTCTCGGTACATCCTGCGGAGAAATGTTTCCCACGACTGAGCTGGCCAGTATCTGTCTGGCTATCTTCTCCCTTTCTGCCTAATCTTTCCTTTAATCTTGCACATATCCTAAAGGACATTTTCAACATTTAGTGCAGGTGAAGAAATAGTGTTACTTTAGGTGAAAACATATTATTTGGCCGTTGTTAGAAGTCCACCACAGGAGGGGGTGACCTCAGCAGTGATCTCTGTAATCACCACCTTGAAACCCTACTGCACCTGCAATCTGGAAGAAACAGCAAGTTCTAGTTTGTGCCAAAATCTAGCAGATTATCACAAATGCTTCTGTCCCTGCTGCAGTTTCAGGGTGGTGATTAGAGACTTGAAAGTCATTCAATCCCATCTATGTCAAACATTGAATAAAGTTGTGCTTTTCTCAGTCTAAACCAGTCTAGAATAAGAAAGTCAGAGGCAGAAATAAGCTTTATTTAAAAGATCTCAGGCAAAATCAAATTACTTCATATTCTTGTGCTCTGAGTTTTTCTTTCTTGTCTTAACTGGAATGATGAGAAAATGGTGAGAGGGAAAGTGTGTCCACCTGGGTTGTTCTAGAAAGGCTCAGCAGCAAACATTATGAAGTCTGCCATGAAATGTTCATCAGCCTAATTTGCATTACAATGTCATGGTTCTCTGGATGAAATCTTGAAACCGATGCAAAATTTTTTGATTTAAAGATTACCGAAATCACTACACTCAAATGATAAGAAGATACGTACTGTAGACTTCAGTGAACTACATGAACACAATACAATGCTAAGTGGATTTTAAGGAATTTGTTCTGCTGTTCTCTACATTTTAAGTCTTTATGCCTGTTCTGAGTTCAGTAACTTTCTGTTATTTTTTTGGCAAAACCATGTCTTCTAGAAAGGTGTCTAGGAAATGTAGAGGTCAGCAGTGTACTCAGTGGACTTTTGTAGTAGGTTATCAGCTTCTCCGTTAGAAATATGTACCTCAGAAGTACTTCTATTCTCGGTATTTTCTCCTTGTAAAGCCCTTTGTACACTGTAGTCAAGTTAACTCTCAATATCCTTTTTGACCGCAAGCCAGTTTGCATCACGCATTTTTAAGACCTTTTTCCTTAGCGAGTTAATAAATAAATAATTTCTGCAGCTATTTCCTACAGTCTCTTATTTGCCAGTGTCCTATTTAGAATGTGGATACCTAAACTAATACAATATTCCAGTGCTGCTCTTAGCAGTATCAGATAAAATGGTAAAATCTGTGTTTATACATCCCAATAATGCATTCTATAACTACATAGGTAACTGATTGAAAAAATCCTTCACTGTGTTTAATTATTAGTTTTGTGATCAATTAATCAGAATTATGATTATTTTATTATTATTATTATTTTCAGTTATTGTAGATTTTTAGATGGTAACCATTGAGAAATAGTGCTGCTGATTATTTTAAAAACTTCAAATAAAAATTAAACTTGAAAATGATTAAAATATTGAAAAATATCACCTTCAAAACCCTATTTTAAAAATAATACTGCAATGTATGACTATTTTTTTAAAAAGTAAATTATAAATTTGGTGGTTTTCATTGCAGGTTTGTTTGTTTTTTTTTTTTTTTTCCCCCCCATATCTTGTACTTAGAATGCCAACATTTTGGAAGCCAGGTGTTAGCTATTTAGCAGTCCAAGAGGTCATTACAGAAATATGTGCCAAGCCACGTGCGAGCAGCGTACTTGGAGATTTCCTCTTAACTTTCCTCAAGAAGCACTCAGAAACAAAGAGCCCAGCTTCAATATTTAAGTCAAGAAAATGAAACATTCATGTGCTGTAGCTAGATATTGCTGCTGGAGCTGAACAACCCCTGCCTGCCTAAGGTTGGGGATACACAACTGAATTTATATTCTGGCAGTAAAAACCTGCTTCTAGGGACACAAATTCTAACCAATCAGACTAAATAAATCAGCAGGCCCGGGTTTTATCATCGCAGATAACCCTCATTAATCCAGCAAGCTTTTCCTGAAGACAAAGGACAAAATGAATTGCTTCATTGGAGTTGCCTGAGCAGCATGCTAATGCGGGGAGGTGGAAGGCATGAATTATTCATGCTCTTGCAGCCTGAGCAGGCAGATCCTGGCTTTTCCTGTTACCATTGCAACAAGTGGCGGCTGGCCCGGCCACGCTCGGGCCATCGCTTGTCCCTGGAGAGCCCCGAAATGCCTGCTGGAGAGGGAGAACCTCCGTGCCTCCGCTGCGCCCGACGCACTCGAGTGGATTTTCAGGTTAAGCCTTATGCAAAATGGACCCGGGAAACACAGTCTTTTGTAACTCAAATGTACTTGACCATAAACCACTCTTCCTGGAAGAAAACAGGTTGTTTCGGTAAGTTTGTGCAACTTTTGACGTTTTCTGAATCTGCTGTAAGCTCTTTTCAGTTTACAATGACTGTAACGTGCAGTGTTTTACCAGTCTTTCTATAAATAGTTCTTTTTGCTTTTAAAATGACTTAAAGAAGCCTAAAAAGGCATGCAATACCTTTATTTTAAACTCTAGAAAAGATGTAAACAGTATCTACAGAACTGACACTAAAGTTATAATCAAGCCTTCTTAAATTAACTTGTATTATTTACATTTTCAAATCCCTGTGGCATGCTACTAAAAAAAAATATATTTATGATCCAAGCCTGATTTCTTGCAACCGAAACTGAGACTAATGTAATTCAGTGTCAAACTGGAGAATCTCAAAGAACCTGTGTTACTTTTCATAAGAAATGTTGATTCCCTGGTGTAACTTGTGGTGTTGCTCTTTATTCAGCTAAATACATTTCTGATTGGGTTGGGAACAGGAACTGAGACCTGCGTAATGTTCTTACCCTGCGTTAACTATTCTGTCCTATCATAAAATAGTTGAAAAGCAGTGAGAAGTTACACAATGTTTCTAAGGATAGGAAGGAGATATATTTCGTATGTAAAGCATGTGGCAGTGATGAACTAAGACTGAACCAAGGCTAGACTTACCACTTCTTCATAAGGTGAAAAGCATTCAAATTTTTTGCTTTATTATTCACTATCAATATACCTACCTATAACATTTGTTTCAATTGTTTGTCTGATTCTTGTTATTTTCCAGTAGCGATACCATCGGCATTGCCCGCGAACTCTCAGGTAACTCGCTACTTGGCACAGTGAAAAAAATTAATATAAATAATCAGCTCCCAAGAGCAGAGGCCATGGATAGGAGCGTGAATATGAAATGAATCCTGAATAAGTTTTGATTGTGGATAACAAGCTCTCCCTCTTTTTATTTGTTTGTTTTTAATTACATAGTCCAGATTCTGCTGCTTCTACTTTGTTTTCTTTGTTTTGATCATAAAAGCATTTTATTTGACATCCAAAAGACAGCCAAATTTTGAAGGGATGAAAGTACAGCATAATGATATCTAGTGCTAACAGTAATTACATGCCCTATGTTTTAAGAAAAAAAAACAAGAGGTGAAAATAGGGATATGTAAATAACAGGAGATATGCAAACAATGGATGTAATCCTGCACTCCTTAATCATGGCAGTAATCCTTATTCATGTGAGTAATCCTGTTGGTTTCAATAGACTCACATCAGTAGGTGCTGGAGCATAAGACCCATATTTTTCAAGGAGATAACAGTGTCTGTTTTACCTGGTTTTTCTGTAATGTAATTTTAGCAACACTGTTTTTAGCGATGTGTCTGAATGCATTGGTGATAATATTAAATTAGACTTTACCAAATGCCTGGTTTGCTTCTAAAAGTATAAAAGAAAAAACATGGAATGAGGTATTAAAAGTGTCAGTAAGAAGGTACAAACCCCACATATTTTGTTAGAGATGTGCTTGCAGTGGAATAGCACTACTCACCCTGTTGACTCTGTGTGTGGATTACTTTTTGGTACACGAGGTATATAAACTTTGCTTCCTTTTAGGATAGGATGCAACTTTAGCAAAAAATCACTGTGACACCTGATGTCTCAAAGTACATTTGGGTCTCCGTAAAAATGATAATGTTGATAAATCTTGTTCATCTTTCTGATTGAAACACATGGGGTTTGTGGTAACATTCTGTGAGTGTTTTTATTGCTGTTGTGGTCTCTGATCTTGCCAAAATAACACCCGCAGTTCTGACTTGGGAATAACGCGTTTGTATATAAATGTTGCCGTTGCGTTGCCCTCCTCATCAGCCCAGCTTGGCACTTCTGAGCTTTCCACCCCAAGACCATGCAGTGCTGCCCTGTAATCCAGGATGGGTCTGGGGAGCACCTGTGTGCCCTTCCCCAGGCAGTGCATCTGTTAACGAGGGAAAGCTAATCACTTAAAAGCTTTTGGTACACTGGGCTTGAGGGGTATAAATAGCCATGAACTCTTCCTGGTGCTCTGCAAGCCATCAACCTGGGTTTGTGCTGGATGCCAGCAGTGGTAGTGTGGTTATGAACGTTACGCTATAATAATTGCAGTTATTGCTGTCTTAAGATGCTTCCTCTGTGGAAATATTCTCTTGTGTGCACCCTGAAGGGGACAAGATAGAAATGAAGTAAAAATGCAGTGGGTGATGGTTCCAGGTGGCACACAAAACTTACAGTTAAGTGAAGTTGGTATTAGGTACCTGTTGGCTTTTTGTTGGTTGCATTGAGGTATCAAGAATGAACTGATTATGTTTTACTCGGCTTCAATAGATGGCAAAGACTTCAGTGTTTTGTATTTGCAGATGAGGTATACGGTATTATTAGTCTCTATTTCTATACACAGAAACAGTTTAAAGCTGAGGCTCTGTGGCTGTTCTGGGCAGTAGAGTGCTGCAGGCAATAAAATGACCGATGCCAAGAGGCTGGAAGGGCAGGCTGGCAGCTGCTGCTAAGGGAGAGGCTGGAGTGACCCTTGGCAGCAAATTTCTTCTCGCTTACTCCGTGCAGGGTCCCAGCAGGAGCATAAGTATCTCCAGGTAATGCCCTTTCTGTCCCCTGACCCCTGCCCATGGCAGGAGCAACACAATTCCTAATCCTTGGACAACACCACAAGCACTGGTTGCACATTAACTGAAGTTAGAATCACTTTTGAGGGTACTTTTTACTACATCTGTTCTCCGTTGTTGAATTATTAAAAAAAAAAAAAAAATCACATGCACTATTTTTGTTCAAGGATCTCCTTGTGGCAATAGGCAGAGGTCAGCTTCCTGTTTTAATTTTTACTACCTTTGGTGAGTTTTAGAGATGGCTGTTCATGCAAATTTATTGAAAAGTCTTTAAAATTTGGCCAAAAAAAAAGTGCTTTGGAATGGTTCAGCTCATTTGGTATCAAAAATCACATGTGTGGCCATTTGGAACAGCCTGGGTTTTTTTTCCTTTGTGCATACAAACTACATACAGTAGTTTGACATGTCGTTCTCACGTCCCTCTTCATTAGAGGACGCCCGTGTCTCCTTCCTTCCCACCCAAGACAGTGGGCAGGGGGATGCATAGTCTCCGCTATTTCCCCAAGTTAGAAGCTCTGTGAGAGCAAAGCTATGGGTGTGCACGCTGCGAGCGATGGTAAGAGCAGGTTCTTTGTGGTTTGGCAGCAGTCCCTCCTCAGTGTAAGATGTATTTTGCTGTATTTTTGGGGTTGGTGACACAAAGGCAGCGCATTGTGGCCTCTGCATTGGGGCATTGCTACGGTTGATGGACTTTGCTGTATCAACGTGGAAGCGTGCTGAGGTTTCCTACTTAGGGCTTCCGTTGCAAAGCGTCTATAAATGGCCGTTAAGCCGGAACAAGATATTCGAAACAATACAGACCTCCAGTTCTAAGCCCAAGTAGTACACAAAATAAAAGGCAAGTTTTAAAGTACAGGTAGAGGAAATTTTCTAGCTGTTGTTTTGCAGCTGTCTGGGAGCCTGTGGCAGAGAAAGCAGAAAGACTGGAAAAGCCAGCGTGCAGCCCGCACAGCGTGCAGATTGAGCAAGGTCTGGGAGCGTGGCCCTGGGAAAGCCGAGCGCTGGCTGAACATCAATTACTTACTTTACTGGTCCTCCAGGTCAGAGCCACGTAGCAAACTTCAGCTAACGTAGCATGATGTGGTCGCTGGCTATGGAGCAGAGCCTGGAGCAGATGTGTCCCGTGGTTCGGCATGTCCTCGTGGTGGGACTTGCCACGTTTGTTGTGTGTAGGACCTTGGGGACAGCAGTGCCACACGTGTGACCGGGAACCAGTTCCCAGTGGAAGGGAACCACAGGACGTTGTGGATGACTCAGTTTGGTCTCTAACCTTAACAGAAGACGAAACCAACACAACTACCTTAATGATATGCTTTTATTGCTAGCTGCCTAGTGGCTTCTAAGGGGGAAAGCTGAGCTGGTATGACTATACATATTAAATAGGAGAACAGCGCAGATAAATCTGCAATGCATAGGGACTTCTTATATTAAAGGCTTTTACTTCTTCTCTGTTCTTTTGCTGTAAATCACGTTCTGTGTCTGAGAGCAGCCAGTCCTTATCCTCTTTGCAGTCCAGCTCAACCCCAAGCCGGTATCTCCCCAGGGCATATTTCAAGACTGTTCTTTCATAGAACATTGCTCTTGTTTCATGTGACAATTCTGCCTCTGTATCCCTCCAGAGAGGGAGAGGTGAGCAGAGGACAGTCACAATCAAACCTATGTGTGTGGTCCCAGGCCCAAACCTGTCTCAGACGACAATCAATGATGTGCAACATGCATTAATCGTGGTTGTGTGATGGTATAACACGTTAGTCACCCTTCCCATGGCATGTAAAATTCATGCATGAAAGATTCATCCTCAAGTTTTGAATTGCATAGTTCTCTGGGAAGGTGCGTTTCTTCCTCCTGGTGGGATAATCAGTTCAGGAATTAGCCGAGCTCCTGAGCAGTTTTTCTTTTGTGTGCACCCAGTAGTGACACCTAGTGATGTCCAAGGAAGATTTGATTTCCTGAGCAGAAAAGCGGGTAGGGGCAAGAGCAGGGAGCCCCAGACTCTTTTCTGGTTGAACTGCAGATGGTGAAATCATTCAGAGCTACAGAAAGGGAAGCTCTGAACCTGAATGTCAGCCTTAATATATTTAAATGACAACTACTGAACTGTCACCTAATGGCTGACAGTAATTATTAACAGGCAGAAAGCAACTGGTTTTATACCCTGCATTTGAAGAAATCTAAGCTGTAGAGCATATTGAGGGTCCATGCCACAGCCTTATCATATAACCATGGCTGACAAACGAAGCATCTCCCCCAGATCTGAATTAGCTATAGGAGACGAGTAAAAAAAAACACTGATTGAAAACTTTTTATTTCACAGCCTTCAAGAACTGACTTGTCTGTAGAATGCGTTGCTGTATTGTGCTGTGAGTGCAATTAGCTGGAAGAGT